TAATTATTGTATTGTTAATTACTTTTTTGGATATGTTGGAGTTCCAATTTATTAATTTGTTAGTATTAAAATTGAAGCTTCTTGTTTTGTCAAAAAGTAACATTTTTTTGTAGTTAATGATTTGAAGATCTAGAAAGTCTATGCTATTTTGTGAATTATTAGTTTTATTAAGTGTAAGACAATTTGGATAAATCTCGGAGTGTTCAATTTTACCAAAATTATTAATTGTAATAAGGTCATCAATATATCTGTAGGTGTGTTTGTAGTAATTTAACTCTTGTGGTTGTAGATTTTTTTGGAAGTTAAATTCTTTAATAAATAAAGATATTACAGATCGAGGAGCTGGAATGTAAGCCCATTGGCAATCCTCTGACTTGTTTAAAAAGTTGATTTTGAAACTTGATGTAGTTATGAAAAAGTGTGCATTTTGGGTAGGTTTTCCATTTGTCTAGAGTCATAATTTTGAGCATATCAGGAAAGAGTTTAGGCAGATCAAGTAGACTGGTATAGATTTCTTCTAGAGGAAGTGAGGTATATAAGTTTTCAAAGTCATAGCAGTTAATGTTTTGGATGTTAAATGTTTGAATGGTATTAATGAGTGTTATTATGGATGATCCAGCAATAGTTATAATTAGTGTTACAATCATTGAAAATAAATTTACAGATTTTATTAAGTTGAATTAAAAAATAATAGTCTACATTTTTCTTGTAATTATTAGTTCCATTAGCTATAAATCTGAATTTTAATGGTGTTTTATGGAATTTGGGAATTGCATAAAGATTAGTAAATCTGTTGTAGTTTGTATTGAAAGTAATATCGAGTTTCTTATGAAAAGTTTTAATCCTGTTTATTGTAGATGTTTCTGTAAGGTTGGCTAATTGATAAGTAGTTGCGTTGAGAAGTTCTTTATGAATGATTTCTGTGTAGAATTGTTTTCATATAATGCTAAAGTTATTAGTTGCTTTATCTATTTTTGTAATAGTAAAAAGCTGTTTTAATTTTTTAATTAATATCTGATGTAAGTTGCGACCAATTCAGTGTACTTTTAAACTTGAGGTGACTGATTTCAGTGGATATGTGTTGAAGAATTTTAGCTTTCCATTTTAAGAAGGTATCTATGGGTAAATTCAATTGATAACTTGCTTTAACTATAAATTTGTTGATGTTGTTTTCGAAAGTCTTGTAACAGTAATTTTTAGTCATGTTTCTGACTGGTCTAAATTTTGTACCATAACTCATTAGTGTTTTTAGTTGATGGTTTTGTATACTATTCAGGATGCCAGTAATTATGTGCTGGTGATGAGAATCTATGTAATTGCTGTAAACTGGTGTCTTACAATGTCATTCTGCTGTTTCATCTATTTCATGGTGGTTAGTGAGCAAGTCGCTTAAGGTCCTTTGATATTTAAATACAACCATTGGTATTGTGTCAACTGCGGGGAAGTAATCTTTACAATCTCTGATGATTCTTGAGAAATAAATATTGTCAAACTGCGGATGCAGAAAATTGACTTTAAAATAAATTTTGCGTTGAGTGAGACTATTAGAAAGTCTGAAAAGACTAAAATCGAGAATCATGTCTTTAATGATTTGTATGTCGTCGCAGCTTTCTTGAAATATATATATATATATATATGTAGTAACTTGTTTTTGCACTAAATGAATTTAAGATCATTCAACATATATATGAGGGAGTTGGAGTCTGTCATTTTCCCTACCAACTCCACAGCCCTTACAAAAACAGCAGTACGTTTACTAAGGGATTAAATATAAGTTAATATATGAATACTTTTAATGAGAAATTTGAGCTTGATGTTTTTGATAATTTCATTTATATTTGGTCTTAAAAATGACAATGCTACTCTCATATCATCATCTACATTTAACAGTCTCGATCTTTTTTTCATTTTTATAGTTGCTAATACTGAAAATCCGAATTTACACAAATAAGATGTAGAAAACTATAATAATATTTTTAAAGCTTTTTTGACTGTCTTGGGATAATCGCATCTAATGTTAATCCAAAATGAATTAACTTATTCTTCCGAATATTTTAAAATTAAATCTCGGTTATCAGAAAGCAAAACTAGTTATTCTTCCTTCAAATACAAAAGTCTTTGAAACCAAAATCTGCTTGGATACCACAATTGGTGTGCTTGTTAATGTCTTAAAAATGGAATTTCACAAATTCTCATGTGTATTGTATACTAGGGATAAAACCATTATAATTTTTACTATACACATTTCTAAAATTTGGCGGCACACTTTAAGAATTTGGTGGTATAGAAAAGTGGTAAGGCTCAGTTGTTGAGAATCGCTATCTTAAAGTATGTTCAGAACTACATTGTTTCTTGGAATTGAATTCATAGAAAATGGCAATAGATTTTTCATGCATCAGCAAACATACACCAAAGAAATTTTTGAAAAAGTTAAACATTTTCAGATACTTCACTCAACATAAAGACACTATTTCTACAAAATTAAGTTGTCCATCTGCAAGTGCAGAAATTGATGAAATGAAAAGAGAATTAAGAAAGAAAATTCTTTTAAGAAATCTACTGGGATGTTTAGTTTTTGTAAGTAATAGGACTAGGCCTGATACTGCATGTGCGGTAAATATCTTTTTACAGTTTCAGAAGAATCCCGGAATTGGGAAGCATTGTTGAAATTTCTTGGTTATCTCAGTACACTACAAAGTCCGAGATCTGGACCTACAATATCTAAAATCCGGACCTCAAAGCCAACAACTTTTTATTAATTTTTGTATACTTTAACCACACACACAATATTCCCTTCCCTACACATAATAAAACACATGGAGAGTTCCGATTTGTAATTTCACCTCGCCACTAAATAAAATACCTTGTTATTGAAAAAAAACAAACAATTATTTTGGCATAAATTTGTATGATCGAGAATTTGGCTCCAATCCGTATCTGCTTGGTATACATCTCAAACCGAAACATTCTACATAGATACATCGTTGATTTTACACCTACTAAAATTTTATATCCCTGACGCCAACCTGACAATTTATTATTTATTATATTTTGCTTTCATCACCGCATGTTTATCAACATATGAAAACTTAGTAATGACTCATGTAGCGATGCCTGACATTACACTTGGCGATAATTACAGATTTAAGTTAAATGCGCTAAGAAATGTTAACAAGGAAAAATTTAACAAAAATATCTTTCCATATACTAAAAATTGATTTGTTTAGTGATACTTATAGGCCAAAAGATTACATTTAGGACTATTTGAATTAAGAATAACTGATTTGCTATTCACATAAACCCAGAACCAGCACTAGGGATCATATGGCTGCATCAGGCAGCAGAATTTAGGGAAGACAAAAGGAGGTGCTTGGTAGCAGATTTTAGGACCCAGAGAGATTGCATCAGCCAGTAAGATATCTAGCGCCAGCCCTTAATAAGCCTTAAGTATATGTGGAAATTTATTTATTCAAGACTCAGATAAGCCTTATTAAGGATGTGCAAGAAATAGATATAAGTATAATAAATAACTTAACTAATACAATTCAGGCTTAATCGTCTCAGAGCGCGACAAAAGAAAGTTAGAATTTAGTGGAACAACTTGTCTTTAGTTACCAATCTCGTGATACATAGCCAAATACGTATAGTGAACGATAGCTAAATTTTATAATAGCAGCGAATTTTTAAAGGTTTTCAAATATTGCAAACCAAAGGTGAAATTTTCCAATCAAAGAATTTTGTAAAGAAATTAGGGAAAGTGGCAACAAAAGCGAAGTTGATATAAAAGAAGTTTTTCATTGTGATGACAATGCTCCTCAATCATGAATCAATTAATAAATGTCAAAATCTGTAATATGGTTCTAGATCCAAAAAATATTACTACCGATAGTGAAGAAAGTGACAGAGAGTTAACTGAAAATGAAAAATTTCGATTGACAAGTTAGTCGTAATTCTCGACTCGGCAATTACAGGACTTCAACAATGTAACTTAATAAAGTAAGCAAATAAGTATTAAGCTCTCTCTCTCTTTTTTTTTTTTTTTTTTTTTAATTTTGAATCATTTATAATTTTGATCATAGCTGCTTCATTATTTCATAAATCACAATTTCATACCTTTAATTTTATAATTTCTACATGCCATCTTACTAGATTTAAACTGATGATCTAATATCCGGAATTGCAGAAGTCCTGACAAGTCCAGGTCTTGGACTTTGTACTGTAGTACTAAACTGTATAAGTTAAACTTATTCATGATAAAACAGCTGAATATATATTGTTATTCAAGTACTTATTATGCAAGTAATAAGGATGACTGTGTGACCGTGGGTGGTTGCATATTATATTTAGATAGAGTACCAATAATTTGGAAAACTTATAAACAAACAAGTGTAACTTTATGTAACGTGGAGGCGTTATTGGAAGCGGCAGAAAAATTGATGTAGACGAAAAATATTTTAAATGATGAAGTTTTCAATTTCAGTTTGAAAGAGTATAAACTATTTTGTGAAGACAAATCTGCTACTGATTTTTCCAGATCACCAATAGAAAAAAGTTGGACTGAGCACATTGACATATGATATCACTTTATTAGAAGATTGGTGAGTGATAGAGTGTTTGACCTTGAATTCATCTCTAGAAAATTAAATAATGTGGACTTACTTATGAAAGCAGTGACTGCTATAGATTTGAAAAAAAAAAAAAAAAATTAACTTTTTATAGTATTCAAGAAGGGTAAATATTGTTCCCATGTAATAGAATTGAAATATGATTATATATATAGTTCTATGTAAGTTGATTATTTTTTCATTTTTAAATGTTTCCAATTTCCAATTTTTTCATGATTCATATTTGATGTTCCCTTTAATTTTTTTTTTTTTCAAAATTCATTTTTAAATGCTTCTTAGTTACTTCATTCAACTACAATTTTACTAACGATCTCAAAGGAAATAATATACTCAATATCCCATTAGTAAATAAATTATTATTTTATTACTTTGCAGCTTTTGCACAAGTATTAGGGATTCTTCCATCAGTTATCATGTGTGTAGCTTATATGCCAGGGTGGCTTATCTACCTGAAATTAAGGTACATCAGATGTTGTATAAATACATTGCAGATAATTGGTTGACGAAGATATATTTTTGTTGTATTTTAGTTCACATGATTTCTTGAATGATTTATTTAATTAATAAGCCTTATTTAATGAATTAATTCTAATAATACAACTCTTCTGATTATTAATTTTCATTAGGTGCTGTCGAACTGTTGATTGCAATGGTAGGACTCTTCTATTTGTTATAAAATGTGGAAGCGATTCAACAATTTTGTGGAAACAAACTGTGCAAATAGCATGTGTCAGAGTAAGTATAAATTTTTTAACATTTGATTAATTAACGTAGTCCAGTAATAAAATATCTGTTGCAGTTGGGTGATATACTTTTTAATAAATAGATAATAATTAAAATAGAAATATTTCTAATTTTGTATGGGATATGTGTGCTCTTTGTAGCTTTCTTTATTAGTTTTTATTGGGTCTGACTTAGAAGGGACTTATTATGGAATTACTGAGTTCTTAATCAGTTCGAGCCTGAAATTTAGCTACCTCTTTTTGATAACAAGATCTTTGCGATGAGAAGGCAGGAGGTTTTAGCTTCAAGTTGGGCTTGTTAATATTGTTATGAAGTCAGCAGTTAATACACAGTGAAGGTTCTGCACGACATTCCTCTGTTGGATATTTTAGTGCACAAAAGATTTAAGATGTAGTCCCTGGAAATGTGAATCTTGTTCCTCTCTTTGTACTTAATATGTTAAAGAATTTTGAGTGAAGCCCGAGGATATTGGGTGCACGTAAGTCATGGATGTTAGAAGTAGTGCTATTCGGAATTGTGATGTCATTTTGTTCTAGTTCTTCAGTGAATAGGAATTTTTAGTATCTAGGTAACTACTAAACACCAATTTATGAAGAATAAACTCTTAAATAAATTCAATATATATATATATATAATATTAGAATGACATCAATATTTGTGATGAACAGAGCAAACCTTCAAAAAAGGGAAAAAAAAACATTCTCTCTTTTTTTGCTGCAGTCCCGAAGAGCATTCTTATCAGAAAATGCACTAGGAAGAGAAATTGAGGCATGACATCAACGCTGAAGAAATGGGGGGAAAGGTAAAACTTGACAACTTTTTGGGGGTTCCCCGAGCTTCCTGTTGCAGGTGGAGGGGGAGAACTGTAGCAGGAATGAGGTGGAGGTTGCTTTGATTTTGTACTTGAGGAAGCCATTAGAGCTGACAGCTTTGTCTTTGTTAATAAGAAAAATTAAAATTGAGAACAAACTAATTTTAATTTAAAATTAAGAACAAATAGTTTTGGAATGAAATTTGAATAACTTTTGAGTGAATAGAATTGCACTGAAGGTGGCGTACTATAGAGAGCTGCATTGACTCATACTACTTTGTTAGGTTTCTTGGAAGATGTTTGTGGAACTGCTTTTGGAATATCTTCTTCTTGGTAGCAATGAGAACAATTAACTTCTTGGTAGCAATGAGAACAATTAAGCGAGCTAATTCTTGAAACAGTTTGGAAATCACTGTAACAGATATGGAGAGAGTAATGTAATGCAGTGTGGTCCAACCTGCGGGCCACATGCGGCCCTCTTATTCATTTTGATGGCACTTGCCCTTCTTACTAAAGGGAAAAAATGTTAGTTAAACATTTAGAAAAGCAAAAGACCCTTCTTACTGCTTTAATAATAATAAACAGAATAAACTGTATTTGTGAAAAACAAGCAGTGTAAAACAGTCATTAGGATGGAAACTAGCTGACGAACCTGCACTGCTGGGAATACAAAATAGCAGATGTAGTGAAAAACCACTGACATTGGCAAATCTGCCCATCAGATGACAACTTTCATTCATAAAGATATATTAAACTAGTGATTTATGTGTAGTTCATTTTTTTTCCTTTAAAATCTCTGGCCCTCACTCTCTTATATTAATGTTTGATTAGCCCTTGGGTAACTAAAAGTTGGCCCACACTGATGTAATGGAAATTATGTTACATTAACACACACATGAAAACAGTCGCTGAATTATGTTGTGAGTTAACACTTATCACAAATACAGATACTTAAACAGAACAAAAGAAAGAGTATATTATGGATTCGTTTTAGAGATTGCATAAATATTTTATATAAGGTATACCTGAGATTTAGTTAACAAATGACTGCTGTTAAGAAATTTAAAAGATTTAGAATTCTTACCTTTTGTGTTTTCTTCATTTATTTTCTTTTCTACAGATAACGATAGCTATTCCAAAAGAAGGCTTAATTTCATAATTAAGCACAATACTAGTAACACCAGTTAATCTAATTAGTGGAGGTCTATTTATTAAAAACATGAGAGAGATGCATTGATGAATGAAGTGATAAAACTTAGGTAAATATACGCAATTCTTGGAAAACACACTAAAATGCACACTTGAGGGAATTCTTGTGTCTTGGTTAATGATTAGGTAAATTCTCCTGTGAAGACTGGTACTATTTGGGTGATTTGTTGAAGGAATATTAATAGATTATTTTTGACACTGAGATAGAAATTCGTACCCTTGATTTGAATATGATGAAAACGATATGCTGGTAAAATGCGTAATAAGTTGAATCAAAAGAATTATTATCTTTCTGTGCTGATTGTTAACAAGAAAAGCTTTTTTTGATCAGCACTAGTCTCTTTTGTTATTCTGAATGAGCCTCTACTTGGTGAAATGTCAGATAATGTGAATGTCCATAAGTGAAATGTCAGGGAACTTTGCAGAAATACATTAAAAAGGTATGTATGCATTTAAGTGTATCAGTCTACATTTTTCAAGGAATGCATTGTTACTTTTTGAAGTATGACTTGCTGTTTTGTCTTGATAAAGTTTCATTTTTTGAAAGTCATTGGGATAAAGAAATGGAATTTTTTCTGTAAATATTGGATGTAAAACTTTCTCTTTATAGTACATTGAGTTAATTTTATCGTTTCCCCCCCACACACTTTTTAACTTCTCATTGCAAGAGACTCCTGTGACAGTCATAAACCCATTACTGAAACTTTCTTTGTATTGATGAAACGGAGTTTGTACATTTTTTTCTTTCTATTTGGATTGATTAATAAACAGACTTTTTTTTTTTTTTTTTTTTTTTTTTTTTTTTTTTTTTTTTTTTTTTTTTTTTTTTGTGTAGAGTCATTTAGATAAACCAATGCTTTATCAAAGGTCAAAATCCATTTATCTTATGCTAAACAGTTTTACAAATTTTCTGCATCAAGATGCATGCCTCTGCAGAAACTGGTGAACAAATATGTATTTTAGCTTTTTTAAGTTGTAAATCTCAGTTTGTTATTTTATTTAATATTACTGCATGTTTATTTAAAGACTTTGCAATTTATTTCTATGTTGGCAGATTTTCTCTTATTACCAATTATTTAACATTCGAAATAGTATATACCTTTTTCTGGTATTTGTTTGGAGTCTTCTTTCCATGTAGAAATAATGATTGACAGTTTTTCTCTTCCTAGGTAATAATGTTGCTTATTTTGCATTAAGAAATTTTAATACCATGCGTTTCACAATGTTTTTAACCCTTTCGCTGTGCGTCCCGCGATTTCCATGGGCACCGTAAAAGTAGCAAAATTTGCACAACCTGCGATTTCTGTGGGGATGAATTTTTGCCGTCTATTTAACTGTGCAATCCTCTCTTTTCCCGTTCAAAGTGGGCTAAGAGATATCGTTGTTCACATTTCTGCCAAATATACAAGAATACTTAATGTAGCATTTTGCGCACGCTTTTCAGAGCTCAAAGATGTCTGGCAGGAAGCATTTTGCGAGTAATGTAACCTATATTCCTGATGATATTTCCAACACTGATAGTAGTTCTGACTCTGATTTCAAGTATATTGAAGATTGTTATAGTGAAGCTGATGAAAATTTCTCGGATTCCTCTACAAACAGTGATGAATCTGAAAATTCAGTTTCTATTGAAAACATTTGACAGTGGTGCAAAATTGATATGCAAAATATTACATCATGCAAATATTTTCATTAGTATATATGTTTTAACTTTGTATTTTATAAAATAAATCATAATTTAACCGATATTAATTTTCAAAATTTTCCTTTTATATCATTATTCTTCAATTTCAGTATTCTGACAACCTTTTTCTATGATCTAATTCTATATTGAAAAAAAAAAAAAAAAAAAAAAAAAAAAAAAAAAAAAAAAAAAAAAACTCTTTTACAAAATGTTTTGTATATTTTAACTCTAAAATATATGTAGATTTGGAATATGTAATAAAAAAAATACGCAATTTCTGAACCTATTTTGATTTTTAAAAAAATATGCAGTGAGAGAGTTAAATTCTTGAATAGAGATATTTTTCTCCAAAAAGCAAAAAAATATGTATATTCTTGAATCCACAGTTTGCTTATATGTGAGATTTAAAAAGAAGAATAAATTAAAAAATGGCAGACAACATTTTTCATTTCAGATAATAATTTTAAATAATTAATTTCATAATTTGTATTCCAAAACATCTGCTTTTTTAATTCATCATTGAAATCATTCTAAACTATGTAAGCACCCTCTGTAGTACACAGTGTCCTATCCACAATGGAATAATAAAAAATTATATAATGTACAGAGGCAATACTTGGAAATTAGCAGCAAGATTTAGGGAGCATAAAAAGCATGTAAAATGCTTTTCAAATCGTAACTGCATTAAGTTAGATAAGTATATTATGTATTTAATAAATAAAAGATCATCTGTGCTGTACCATAAACTGAAACAAAGCTGGCATTATTATTAAGTCCATGCTTAAAAGTAGTCTTAAAATTGGGAAAGGCTTTGAAATAACCACTAAGCCATGTTGCCAAAAATTGCATGTTAATCTACTACGTATCTGGGCAGCTATTGTCGAAAGTGGAAGTATCCAGACCCCAAAGAGGGGCAGCAAAAATTCAAACCCCAGAGGAATTCCAATGCCATAGCAAAAGGAGGAAGAACAAGAGAAAGTTGCACATCATACACACCCTTAGTGATGAAATGGAGCGTGTTATCTATGAAAACCTCTTAATTTTCTTGAATGCTTAGTATTTATTTTTTGTTATATTGGTTTTATGTTTTTTAAATTGGAATAGTGAATTAAAGCAAATTGCTATTTTGAGTTCTATAAAAATGGATATATCCTGCTTCAGGATTTCAAATGACTTAAGTTTCTAAAAAATTTTCTGTCCAATTGATATTTTATAAAAATTGTAAATATTTTATTCAGAAATATACCTTGGAAAGCTTGATTGAAAATGGGATGAAGTTGAGCAAATAGATGTTGTGTATTTAACTTAACTAACTATGGTGAAATACTTAATGATGCTGATGTCACTTAATGTGTATGATTCTGGTGTAGTATATCTCATTTTTCTGCATGACAGAAATTTTACAAATAAGTTTTATTTGATCCTTTATCAAGTTTGATACTTCATTTTTTGTGTACATGAAGATTTAAAACTGAATATTTTTTAACTTAACAACGTTTGATATTTGAGTAAACCATTTTTGTTGGTTCTTAATATTTTTTCATTTGAATCACTGGTAATAAGTTGTAAATATGTTTGTTTAATGTGCATTCACTGAGTTCTGTAGTATTTTTAAATGCTTCAGCTATTTGAAAGATATACATAATGTTCATCAGCATAGAGTTTTTGTAATTATTTTTAGCTTTGCAAAAATTTATTTTAGCTTACATGAATGCATAAACATTGTGTAAATTTTTCATTTGTGCATATCTTTTCATTAACTTCTAGGTCATAAAAGAAACAAAAAAAGTAGAAGACTATAAAGTTTTGAATCTAAAGCAATTTTTGCAAGCATATAAGATGATATTATATCATATCAGTTGTATCTCAGGAATGGAAACAGGTGCTGATGATGAAGCTTCTTCATCTTCAGAAGGTGAATTAAAATCTGAAACCTTGCGACGAAACCCAATTTCAACATCTATGATTTTGAATCAGTAAGTTGAATTTTAGAAAAAGATATTTCATTTGGCTGGCAAAGTAGCAACTTCCTAACGTCAATAATATGTACAGAATAGTTGATGATAAATAATAATTGAATAATTGTCCAAAATAGTTGAAACAATATTCAGTTTATTTTTGTCAATTACACAGTAATATTCTTAAACTTAGTTTGCAGTGGAGGAAAATGAATGATTTGACCGAGTTCCAAAGAAGTCAAATTGTTAGAGTCTGGTTTATTAGAGCATCTATAACTCCATTTGCAAAATTATTAAGTACATAAAGAGATGCTGTGTCTATAAAGCTATGACAGCATAATAATAGTCATGGCAAAACATGTTTGCAAGCCCTAATTATGAGGGAAAAAATAAGCTCACTGACAGAGCCAGAAGGACATTAAAAGAAGGTCGTTAAGTTGAAAAGAAAAGCTGCCTGTGACAAAAGCATCTGTTGATCTTAATATGCATCTGCAAAACCCACATGAACAACTAAATTTTTACATGCACACTATGGAGGAAACTGCATGAGCAGAATATACCATATATTTCCATGTATAAGCTGAGAATTTTTGGAAAAAGGCCTGTTAAATGTCAAAACTATGCTGTAATATTACATATTATGAACCTAATAATGATATTAGATACAGTATATACAGTACTTCAAAAGTTTTGTCCTGTGATGACAAAGAAATTATTGATCATATTCTGCTTTCTTTGATGAGAGCATTTTCTTCCTTGCCAAGTCTCACCATCTTTGCAGCATCAGAATGTCAATTTCTGTAGCTTTCTCTTGCTATATATATTTAATTTCAATTTCCAGAGCTTTAACTCCATCACGTTATGTGAAATTCTGCAAAGTTGGTGCTTGATCCTCAATTTTATTTCCTGTTCATTTCCTTTTCCTGTTTTCTATTGTTATCTGACCAAGTTATCGGCTACCTTCTGCCATTGTCTCTCCCTTATCCAATCTCTTGATTGACTCAAGGTTTTGTTCCATTGATACAACTTTTTTCTTTTGTTGCTATTCTTTATTTCCTTGTATAAATTTCAACTTTTAAACATCATAATCTAATGTTTATTAAATTAGACTCACTGAACACGTACATATAAACAGTAACAAACTATAAACTGATCTGCCTACAGTGATGAACTGCACTATACTGAATGACAGACATATGAGTCATAGTGTAGAGTTGGGAGCAACCGCCTTCCCCAAACAAGACTGTGTTTACAACTAACAGTTCTTGTTACCAGTTGATGCTTCTTCCTTTTTTTTTTAATTTGCTTCTTTTCCCCTTCCCCTAATGGTGTATCAGATTAGCGAGATTCTGTGGCATTTTTATGAATTTTTTGTATGCATTTTCATTGAATTTTACATGCCATGGTAATTACAAGATGAAAATTACATTTTTGAAATATTTTAAAGTTTTAATGTCCAATTCATATTAACAAGTAAAATATATAACAATTATTTCATTCCAAGTCATCATATTTGAAACAAGAAAGAGTGCTGTGTGAATTTTAGATTTTTTCTAAACAGTCAGACTGATAATGGAATAATTTGTTCCATAGCTGTCTGTGTACTGCTGTTTTTTATATGTTTTAATGAAGGTGTAGAATTCTCAGTAAGTAGTTCAGAATTTATATGAAGTTATAGATTAACATTCTTTAGACCATGTAAAAGATAATTATTATTTTTAAAAAAGCGATTTACCAAACTGAAAGAGGTACAATTCCGTTTTGAGGACAGTAAAAATTCACCAAACTATTGTTGATCGCAATGCTGCAAAAAATAATTATGGCAACCCTAACGCAATAATGGAAGCATCATAGTAAATAACTAAGATTATTGTTTTAATTTAGATGAAAATTTAATTTCATATAATACATTGTTTTATTATTTTGTTTTATTATTATAATTTATATAAAAAAGGCTAAATATAACTGAATGGAAACACAATAGTAAATACCTATTTCAGATTATTATGTTAATTTCATATAATACAATTTTTTATTACTATAATTTATGAAAGAAAAAAGGCTAAATATGCTTGAAATTAAATAGGTGGCATACATTTTTTTATGTCTTCTAACATAGCAGAAAAAATTTCAATTCTTTTGTGCAAACGATCTAACGCAAGAAAGGAAGCATAATAGTAAATAACCAAGATTATTGTTTTAGAATTTAGATGAAAAGTTAATTTCATATAATACATTGTATTATTATAATTTATATAAAAAAGGCTAAACATAACTGAATGGAAGCATAATAGTAAATAACTATTTCAGATTATTATTTTAATTTACATGAAAGGTTAATTTCATCTCATACAATTTTTTAATTATTATAATTTATATTAAAAAGGCTAAATGTAACTGAATGGAAGCATATAGTAAATACGTATGTTAGATTATTTTAATTTAGATGAAAGGTTAATTTCATTTATTACTTTATAAAAAAAGGCTAAATATACTTGAAATTAAACGGGTGACACAAAATTTTTTACGTCTTCCAACATAGCAGAAAATATTTAAGTTTTTTTGTGCAAACGTCTCTACATAAACTCGGACAAGTAAGAATCGAAATGCCGTCGAGCAGTGCCCTGATGCCGTTTATTATGACATTTAGACTGCTCCACAGCCACTCTACTGTTTGTGTATGACACCCACTTTCAGGGTCACAAAATTGTAGTTGTGGTTGACAGTAAAGTGTTCAAAACTAGCATCTTGCAGTTCATCCGACTTGTGTGATTTCCAGCAGTCGGTATAAATAACGCTTCTTTCTGCGATATTTTCCTTTATGATGTTCGATAAGGATTTCACCAATTTATCTGGAACAGCGATTAAGAAACATTCATTCGATTCTCTGTATAATCCGCTGAAAATCCATTCTGGCGGAAGAACATGACCAACATTATTCTTTTTTTTTTACTGAAAAGGCTTTCGTCTACTTCAATAATTTTGCCGCATCTGCCGATTTTCGACTTAGGCTGAGCAATTAAAGCTGCGGCACACACCTCACGCATGTAACTGTCCCAGTCTACAACTGTACATGGTTCATCTTGAGCTGGAGTCACAAAATTCAACAGATGTTATTTCCTGAAATGAATCTAATTTCTGTAAGGAAGGGGATTTTCTATCCTTCAAACCAATTTTGACTTCTTAATCCTTTCTTCTCATTACAGGTTTCTTTCCTGCACCACCCTTTCGCTACCGAGTTATCGCTAAAGTATAATTTCACCTCATGATTTTTTTTTTTTTTTTAAAGAAAAAGAAATCTCGTGCACCACAAAGTATCGCACGATGAGACTTACAAATTGTAAGTGAAAAAGGCAGAATAGTAAGTAATATCATCAGTTTTCAACAATACAATGAAATCATAACAAGGAAAAAAAAAACACAAGTAAATACAAAAGTATAAAAATGTATAAAGAAATCATTAACAGTGTTTAAAATAAAAGTCAACAAATTCATTGAAAGCTCGGTAGGCCGAAATCGAGGATACAAAATCATAACATTTTGGCGGCCAATGAATTCCAATGAATTTCAATCTACATTTCAAAAGATTTCTTGCTTTATCAAGCAGTGGGCAATCAAAAAGCAGGTGGAAAACACTTTGCTCAACGCTAAGATTGCAATTACACAAATTGGAAGATATCAGCTTAAATCGTTCAAGATAACATTAAACTTACCATGTCCAGACAAAAATTGCGTAACTTTAAAATTGAGTAACAAGTCCTTACTTTCAGTCTTTCAAAATAGTTGGGAAGAATGTTTTTGTAACAGATCCCTTATCAGAAGAGATATAATCACAGTTCCACCACCGCTCAATCATTTTAGCTTTAAATTTTTTTTTAAATAAGATTTTGGAATATTTACATCAACGTTAATATCATTTTTAGTTGCATTCTTAGCAAGCCAATCAGCTCTCTCGTTTCCAAAATTTCCCGAATGACCACGGACAAATGTAAAAAAAACACTGAAATACCCCTCTTCTCCAGATCTCCAAGAGACTGCTGTATATTGACAATAATATCATTACATAAAGAGGTATTTTTAAGAGATTCCAGGGAAGAGAGTGAATCCGTACAGATCAAGTAGCTGGAACCACTTCCATTCTGGCTAATTATCCACTTGATTGCAAATTAATACACAGAAGTTCAGAAAATATATACAGTACATTCATTTCTAATGCGAAATTGGTGACACTCAATTTCAATATCATCTTCAAAAATAACATAAGCAAAACCAACTTATCATCAATCCTACTACCATCCGTATACAGCACAAATGAGAATGAATTAACATCAGTGTCCGTACTATCCAGAATCTGTACTGGTTGTCTTACAGAAGGATGTGGTAGAACAGACAAGGGCAATAAACGATCAAAGTGAGAATTGGAGTAATTTGCAAGACTATTCTTATAATCTATAAAAGTCAGAATAAACAAATCCAGTGGTGGAAATCCGGCAAGAGAGAAAACAGCATTGTTCAACCTCATGATTGTTCAAACTTAATTTTCTATAATGAATGATGCCTTTTTTTTTTTTTTTTTTTTTTGAAAAAATTCTATTGCAGACTTTTCGTCACTGGGCAATTCCCAAATTGTAAAATCCATAGCATTATCAAAAAGAAAATTAAAAAATTAAACTAGTATTTCAATGGCGACTTACAAATATAGAACTATGTAAACTTACACAATCTGAAATCAGCACGCTCGTGAAATTTGGCATGCTGTTTAATGAGTGAGTTTGCTAGATTTGGTGCTTTTGCGCATGCATTTTCACTGCAATTTTTTTACGATCTCCGAAATGGAATTGTACCAAGATAATCATTATTAAAAAAAAAAAAACAAAAAAACGACATACCAAACTGAATCACGTAATAATGACTGAATTATTTGTAATCAGTTATATGTGAAAGGACATAAGCATATTGTATGTTGTGATTGACATTCCATTTCATATTTTTGATGAACGTTTTTTTAATATAGCTTAACATTTTAAAATGGGAAAGTATGTCATCATTTATCATTTGCTTTTTATTGAATGTTTAAATCCCATTATTTATAATTTGCATTTCTTTGGTTGCTTAAAATAAGAATAAGTAAAAAAGAAATTAAAAAACTAAACAGCAAAGGAATTCATTGGTAGGAATTCCTTATTTAACATTTTGTATGCATTTCGTATGTATCACATTGAATGTAAAATTAGAAGTCATTAGTAAGTTTCCCTTTTTGAAATCAGTGTTTTAGAGTTTATTTTGAATGCTGAAAATAAATTACAGTTCTTGTTAATGCAAAGAATAAGTTTGAAGTAGTTAAAGAAGAATAAGTAAGAAGTTTGAAGTTAAATGGTACTATTCTGTTATAAGTTTAAATGGTACTATTCTGGGCCGTAAAAAATTGCCAAACTACTGTTGATGCCAATGCTGCCAAAAATAATTACAGTAACCCTAACGCAAGAAAGGAAACTTAATAGTAAATAACTATCTAAGATTATTGTTTTAGTTTAGAGGAAAGGTTAATTTTAAGTAAATACATTTTTTTGTTATTATAATTTCTAAACAAAAGGCTAAACATAAAAGAAATTATACGAGAGAAAATAAGTTTTTTTATGTCTTTCAACATACCAGAGAATATTTCAGTTTTTTGTGCAAGTGTATGTACAGAAACCCTGACAAATAATAATCAAAATGCTGTTGAGCAGTGTGACTTTTATTACACTATTTAGCACAGCCCCACAGCTGCTCTATTGTTTGTCTATGACACTTAGTTTCGGGGTCCACAAAATTGTAGTTGTGATTGACAGTAAAATGTTCAAAACCGACATTTTGCAGTTCATCCAACTTGTATGATTTCCAGCAGTCAGTATAGATAATGCTTCCTTCTGCGATATTTTCTTTTAAGACGTTCAATAAAGTTTTCGCCGCATTTTGCAGTTCATCAGACTAATATGATTTCCAGCAGTCAGTATAAATAATGCTTCCTTCTGCGATATTTTCTTTTAAGACATTCAATAAAGTTTTTGCCAATTGTTCTGGAACAGCGATGAAGAAACATTAATTCGATTCTCTGCATAATCCGCCGAAAACACATACTGGCGGAAGAATGCGTCCAACGTTATTCTTTCTTCTCCTGAAAAGGCCTTCGTCTACTTCAATAGTTTTGCCCCATCCGCCGATTTTCAAGTTAGGCTGAGTAAATAAGGTTGCGGCATACACCTCACGCATGTAACTATTCCAGTCTAGTTGTATTGTGGTTCATCTTGAGCTGGAGTTCACAAAATTCAACAGATGTCATTTCCTGAAATGAACCTAATGGCTGTAAGGAAGGGAATTTTTGATCCTTCGAACCAATTTTGACTTCTTAATCCTTTCTTCTCATTATAGGTTTCTTTTCTGCACCACCATTTTGCTACTGAGTTACCGCTAAAGCATAATTTCATTTCTTGGTTGTTTGAACATAATTTTCTATCATGAATGATGCCTGTTCTTTCATGAATGATGCCTGAAAAAATTCTTTTGCAGATGTTTCGTCATTGGGCAATTCCCAGATTGTTAAATCCATAGTGTTATTAGAAAAGAATAAAAAAATTAAACTAGTATTTCAATGGCGACTTATAAATAAAGAACTGTCTAAATTTATGCACATCGGCACGTTCGCTAGATTTGGTACATGCTTAAATGAGCACGTTTACTAGATTTGACGCTTTTGCACATATATTTTTGCTACATTTTTTACGGTCCCTAAAACGGAATAGTACCCTTTAAATTTTAGTATAAAATTCTTTTGTAGGCTTCTATATATAAATTGATAGTATAAGAACTATTATTGATTATCTTTGATGAAAACTAAACTTCTAGATGAATGTAGTATAATGACCAAACAAAATGTTTATAAATTTGAAATATTGATTGGCTTACCTGTTATTAGTGAGCCTACATTTAAACTTGTGCAAAAATTATAAGTTTTCAGTCATCAGGAAATAGTATTTATCCATGTCGCATTGGCTAATAAAAGTTATGTTATGCCTAATTTTTAAATGCTATTTAACCTGTATTTTTGTTTAATTCTTTAGGATAGGTAGTGCAGAAACAGCTACAGATTTAGATGAATGTATTGTTTGTATGGAAAGGAAACCAGAAGTTACCCTACCCTGTGCCCATAGTTATTGTTTATTCTGCATTGAGCAATGGTAATAATGATATTTTTAAGAATAGTAAAAATATTGCATAAGAATTAGACATTATGAAAAAATATATTGTTAATATCTATGTTTTTGTCAGAAAAGCTGATATTTAGTTTTTTAGCATTGAGAAAAGAAATGTTAATTTGTTCTTTTAAAATAAGTTGGCGTTTTAAACTAAAAAATTAAATCTGATCAAAGGTTCAGAATTGCGTTGTTTTAGCCCAGATTTCTTTCCCCTTGGCAACCTGATTTGTCAACATTTTTATCTTTATTTGATGATTATTTTAAATTCTGAATTATTTATCCATATAGCTACTGTTTTTGGGATTTAATCCAAATTGTTTCTCTGCATTTCTGCCAGCTGATTGAAGACACATTGAAATAGATTAAGAAACTGTCAGATATTAATCAAGATTTGAAGGCAGAAAATTTTTTTTATTTAGGGAGAATGTATTTGCTTTCTACGCTTTGGCCTAGCTGCTCAGCAGTCTGTCTGCTGTCCATCGGCGAAAAATGAAATGGAAATTCCATGCGGAAGTGACATTTATTGAATAGTAACCAGTCTGTCTCACCTCTTCATTTCTCGAAGCTCAGAGGAAGGCGGTAGGTTGCTGTCAAAAGTGCTATTTCGCGTATGCCAATCACTGAGGATGGCGGTAACAAAAAAACAAAACAAAACAAAAAAATTTTACCAACCAGTTCGAGTGAATGGTGAAATTTTTCGAAAAAATCCGCAGTTGTTAAGCGGTAAACTTGATAGTACATTTATTAGAGAAACAGAAAAAAGAAATGAAAAGAGGTAATAGATATTTTAAATGCAGAAAGAAATGGCCTTTCCAAAACTGCATATATGTGAAGAAGCATAAGCATAATTTTACATATGATCTTTTGCAAAATAGAAATTTTCTAAAAGGTTACATGTTTGTAAACTATTAGTTAACAGTTAACAGTTTTATGTTAGTAAACAGTTTTATGATTAAAATATTATTTTTTTGTCTTAAAAGATTATGCAACAATGTCATAAATGAAATCATTGAATATATTATCCAGTACGCGTGTTTAATATTACTATTGAATTTGAATTTAAAAAAATGTAATTTTTTAGCAGCTGATGATTATATCAATACTTTTATTTATTCATGAATTTTAACTGTCACGTTACTACAGGTATACTATTTATTGTAGATATCAATAAGCAGAAAACTTTGGAATGATGCATTAAAAAATTATTTACTAGTGAGTAAAAATATAACAAATTTTTAACAAAAGTAATAGAAAATAAAATAAAAATAATTTTATAACTACAGGTTAAATCACAAAACATATCATCTTGCATATAAATGCATGCACACACACACACACATATATATAATGTTATATAAAAGGGAAGGAATAATTACATAACAACTCCACATTAATCAAATAGAAGAATTTTCTGTTTATATAAATGAACCTTGGCATTCTTCCATGTCATTAGGTGCAGTTATAGATACATGGGTACTATCTACAGTGCCGATGACACCAGGAAATCCAACCTTTCGATTGAATCCTAATTTGATTATGTTTTGTTGAAAACTATTTACTGTAAATTTTATCCATTTGGTGAAAATACCAGAACAAATAGCATCTGTAACTTCTCAAATACACCAACAGACATATTTTTGGCTCAGCCATATACACTGACTACCAATAAGTATTTGGACACCTATGCAAATGACAATATCTGCGGTCCTAAGGTACGTCACGGACTCCGCCGTTTATATCGTGTAGGAAACAGCATCGGCTTTAGTTGCATGCAAGATACCTCGCAGTTCGGAGATCTCTGATTTCGAGAAAGATATAATTATCGGGTATCACAAATATGGCTGATCCTTAAGGGACATATCTAGCAATCTGAAGTACCCATAATCGACAGTGGCCTATGTGATTAAGAAGTGGAAGGTGAGCGGTGATTGTCGGAATGTTCCCCGAGTCGGCAGACCAACGAAACTGGGAGATAGAGACCGACGAGTGCTATCCAGAGAAATTCGGAAGAACCTCACCCGACCTATGGCCCTCATCCGCAAACAGGCATCCGGGAGTATTGTTTCAATGAATATCATCCATAAGGAAGCACATCTGCTTGGTTTTCATGGTCGTGCTGCTGCCCATAGGCCTTTGATCATAAAGTCCAATCACGCTGCTCGGTTAATGTGGTGCAAAGCACATCGAAATTGGACTGTAGATCAGTGGAAACGGGTTCTTTGGAGTGAGGAATCAAGGTTCACCCTTTACCGTTCGGATGGCAGGGTCTGGCGTCTACCTGGAGAACGTCTCCTTCCTGAATGCATTGTGCCAACAGTCAAGTTCGGCGGAGGTGGAATTATGGTCTGGGGGTGTTTCTCTGGTATGGGCTGGGACCCTTGGTCTCCATTCATGGTAAGCTCAACTCTGATGCCTACTGCACTATTTTGGATGACAATGTGCTTCCTACGTTGTGTTAGTTTTACGGGTTGGAAACCCTGTTACTTTCAGGACGACGATGCCAGTTGTCATGTTTGGCACTATACCAAGGCTTGGTATACCACTCCATTGGCACTATACCAAGCCTTGGTTTGACGTTAACCAAGGCTTGGTATAGTGCCAATGGAGTTCATTGAATGGACTGGCCTGCCCAGAGTCCAGACCTGAACCCTATCGAGAACGTCTGAGACGAGTTGCATTGCCGAATTCAGGGGTGCACTACCCGTGCAAAATCAGTGAAGGAACTTCTATGTCTTCTCCAAGCCGAGTGGAAGAAAATACCACTAGCTGTCATGCAAAGACTTGTGGAAAGTATGCCTTGGAGGGTCCACGCTGTAATTACCTCTTGTGAAGGCTCTACGAATTATTGATTTTGAATAAAGTTAGTTTTTCATTTCTATCACAGGTTTCCAAATACTTATTAATAGTCAGTGTATATCTATCATTACCAACATAGCTCTAGTAACTTCCAGAAGCATAAAAGTTTAAGGCACACAAAACCTGTTTTAAATAAATAAATAACTATATATATGTGTGTGTGTGTGTGTGTAACTGTGCTATAAATACTATATTAACATATGCAGTGAAAGAGATTGCAGTACATATTCCTATATATACAGTACGAAGTCCGAAATCCAGACATCCAATATCCGGAATGATATATAATCTGGACCTCAAAACCACCAACACAGTTTTTCTCGTAAGCTTTACACATGCACATTTGATTACACCCTTCGCGCATAATAAAACATCTGGAGATTCCCGATTTCATTTCGACACTAATTAAGGCATTAAATAAAATACCTTGTTATTGAAGAAACAGTCATTTTAGCATAAATTTATACAGTCAGTAATTTGGCCCTATAGCTGCGTGTCTGCTTCACACACATCTCAAACCGAAACATTCCACATAGGGTACATCATTGATCTGACACCAACCTGGCGAATCATTATTTATTATACTTTTCTTTCACCATCGCATTATCAGAACATGACAACTTGAGTAATGACTCATGTAGTGATGCCTAAACAATTTTTTTTTTATGTTAGTAATTGAATAATGAAGGAGTATGGTAACCTTTTATATGTTGACATTACGCTGGCGATGATTACAGATTCAAGTTAAATACACTAAAAATGTTGATGAGAAAAAATTTACCAAAAATTTCTTTCCCATATGCTAAAAATAGATTTTGTTGATGATACTCATTAATCCAAAGATCACATTTAGGGCTATTTGAATTAAGAATAATTGATTTGTTTATTCACATAAATCCAGAACCAGAGCCAGGGCTTGTATGGCCGCACCAAGTCGCATAATTTGGGACTTGCAGAGACCAACGGCCCTCAATAAGGCTTAAGTATATGTGGAAATTTATTTATTCAAAACTCTGTTAACTCTTAAGCATGTGCAAGAAATAGACAAGTATAATAAATAACTAAGCTAATACAATTCAGGCTTAGTTGTCTCAGTGCGAAATAGAAGCGAAATAAAATTTAACGGAACAACTTGTGGTTAGTCCCTAAGCTCATGATGCATATTCAAATATGTATAGTGAAGGATAGCTAAATTTGATGATGATAGCTACTAATTTTAAAGGTTATTGGATATCGCAAAAAAAAAGGTGAAATTTTCCAGTTTACGGATTTTGTAAAGAAATTAGGAGAAGCGGTAATAAATGAAGATGGTATAAAAGAAGTTTTTATATAATGAATGGCGAAATCCGTAGTATGGTTCTAGATCCAGAAAATACCGCTACGGATAGTGAAGAATGTGACTCAGAAGTTACTAAAAACGAGAAAAATTTCGATTTATAAGTTAGTCGGAATTCTCGAAACAACAGTTACAGGACTTTAACAATGTAACTCAAAAAGAGATTATGTCTGTCTACAGAATTAAAGCGAATGTATTAGCACAATGAATGAAGCAACTTAAAACAACCTCCATTGAAAGAAACGTTTAATAAGGTAAACAAATAAATATTAAGCTTCTTTTTTTTTTTTTTTTTTTTTTTTTTTTTTTTGTAAATTTTGATAACCTTTAGATCATAAATACTTCATTATTTCATAAATCGCTATTTTATAATTTCTACATGCCATCTTACTAGATTTAAACTGATTGTCTATTATCTGGAAAAATCCCAAATCCGGAATCACCGAGTTCCCAATGTGTCCGGATTTGGGTACCCTTTTCAAATTGATCCCACCAACGGCCAAGGAGTAACATCAGTCGAAAAATGGTAGTTCAATCTGAGGTTCGACTCCCGCAAACGGGCTGGCTGCATAGGTGTCATTACCATTATATCTTTCATTATCACAGTACCAACATATCCATGGTAACTCTCAGAAGCATAAAACTTTAAGACACACAAAAACCTGTTTTAAATAAACAAATAACTATTAACTGTATTGTAAATATATTAACATATGAAGTGAAAGAAATTCCAGTGCATATTCCTATTTATACCCTTTTTAAATCAATCCCACCAGCGGCCGAGTGGTAACCGCTCGAAAACTGGTAGTTTGGTCTGAGGTTCGAATCCTACGAACAGGCTGGCTGCATGGCTGTTTTGGGGGTTTTCCCCATGTGTAACATGTATACGAGCTAGTTTCCCTTGGAAAATCCTCCATGAAGGCAGTCCTCACCTTAGGCAGATAGCCCTTGAGGCTTTGCAGTAATCATGCAAAACCAAACACTTTTTTAATCTGAATAAAAAGTACACCAAACTGATATAATATCTAAAAACAGACCCCATAAAAAATCTGATAACTAATTATAAATCATAATAAAATAAAATATTTACAAGAATTAAATTTAACAGAAAATTATATAGGAATTTAACTTGAATTATACAGGAGATTCTAAAAACTACTTAAAATTGACATTCATATTGAAACTACTGTCAAAAGTCTTTAATCCGGACTCGTCGGGACTTCGGCAATTCCGGATTATCGATTCTTCTGGATTATAGATCATCAGTTTAAATCTGGTAAGATGGCATGCAGAAATTATAAAATTAAAAATATGAAACCGTTATTTATGAAATAAAGAGCAATTATGATCTAAAGGGTATCAAAATTTACAAAAAAAAAAACTTAATATTTACTTGTTTACTTAACATTTCTTTCAACGCGCGCATGCGTAAAGCATACATTACGCATAGTCAAAATTAGAAAATTGCAACCAGAAAACTATTTGATGTGTATTTGTGATGACGAGGAATTTGATTTAAATCATATCAAAGACGGAGTACATTGAGATGAAATACTACATTTAGTATTTAGAATTATAAGCCAAATAAAATAAAAACATCTGCCCTGAAGATAAGGATAGTGCTGACAGATCAACTTCCAGTTCATTGCGCGCCAGGACGTACCCCCCCCCCCCACAGAGCAGGCTGCTTGAATTGATAAACAGATGTCGGATTCGGCAATCAGAGAAACAAGGATATCATTTAGTCCATTTTTTGCATCAATTCACTTTTCAAGCATAGGAAATTCATATTGCAAGAAAGCAACGGAACTTATAAAAATTGCTGAAAGTCTGCAGCCGTTACTTTTAATAAAGCGCAACACGCAAAATATAAGCCGCATGCGTCTGAACCATTATAATAAGCACATGCACAGAAAGTTTAATGTGCGTAGCGCACACGCATATACGCATGCGTGAACGCATTATACATTGACACATGCACAGAAAGTTTGTAGCTTTGAGGTCTGGATTAACGACTTTTGACTGTATATTATTTTCACTAAAGTTAAATTAAGGAACTGCTTATCTGATAGATCAATAGCAAAAAGCCTATATCATATAGATATGAAAACAAGTGACTTATTCCTTACCTTTAATTCTGGAGTTATCGTTGTCTCTGATGTGGATGGTCCGGTAAAGTATGGCCTTAATTATTGATAAGGGTCCATGCTATAGGTTTTGGTTAGTCGAAATAATCCAATAAAAGTAGAATCAAATGCGTTATTTCTATCGCGAAACACTTGAGTTTTTTTGCAAATCTTAATAAATTAAAATATCCATTACATACACTTTCAAAAACTATTTGTGACCTCCGCCGTTTTCAGTTCAGCTCTAATGGAAAAATTTCTGGTACATCGATCTGTGTGATGATCGAGGTAATGACACGAGACTTGCTCTTTCTCTTTGTCAAGTAGATCGCCAAAAACGACCGATTCTTCCATCTCAACAGTGTCCAGATTAGGGCTCTATGTAAAAAAAAAAAAAAAATGAATATGTAAAAGATGAAATTTAAATTAGCAACGTAAAGTAATTTTGCTTCTGTATTCTAAAAATAGTCTATTCTAAAAATAGTAACCTATTTGCACTGCATCATTTCAAGACTAATCTATGTCATATGATTTTTGTATAATTCTGATGCTGTAAATGGAACTAAAACTCAAACAGCCAATAGTAATTTTATAGCAGTATTTAACTATTCAATCAGAATGCATTGAGAACCAAAACTAACTTAATCTAAATTAAGATTTCACCTTGAACATAACGCACTTGCTTTTTGCTCTTTAGTTTAGCTGCACTGCTGTCTGTCTGCTTCTTTCTTAGCAAAAATGTAAACTTTTTGGAATAGGTACAATTAATGTGCCAACTTGATTGTGGCCACAACATGTTTACTGAAATAATAGTTTAATTAAATATACTTTGACTGCCAAATTTCTTATTCATTGTGGATCGGCAGTTCATTACGGCTCCAACTGCCTGCATTCTACTACAGAATGAATTACAACAGATTCGACAGGGATGTGTACCTCCTGTGGACCAATGTGGACCCATCTTTCTATTGTCCAATATTTCCAATGGAAAAGTTATTGCAGTGTCTGCATTAATTGACCATCTCTTCAAATTTTTAATAGTGTAACAGAAATTCATAATGGATATCGAATATCTGCAAGTTAAAAAATCTGAAAAAAAAATAATGTAAGACATCATGGTGCACTCTTTTGAAGCAGAGAGGAAATATTGTATCAAATCAAGGTCATTAGATCAGTGTTGCAACATAGTGAAATGTGATTAATACTTGTTCGCTTCAAATATTCACAATGTTTATGCATTTCTGATTATGTTGTAAAAGTAAATTAAACATTAAATACTTTAAAGGTATACAACCGTTATCAGTGAAATGTGAAATACAAAATAGTGTTTTTTGATTATTTGCATTTTCAGTGCTCATCTCATTCAAAGAATGGAATATGATAAAAGCAATGTTGAAGCATTATTAAGCTCCAAAAACTGATGTTTTTATCGAGTAAATTAAGTTTTAAAATAGGTTAGGTTATTCAATTATGGCAAAGCCTCGAGGGCTATCTGCCTAAGGGTAGGGATGCCTTCGTGGAGGACTTTCTAAGGGAAACTGGCTTGTATACAAGTTACATATGTGGAAAACCACGAAAACACCCATGCAGCCAGCCCGTTCGTGGGATTCGAACCTCGGACCGAACTACCACTCGGCTACTGGTGGGCCCAAGTTTTAAAATAATATATTGCATTTATGAGTAATTGTATTGTTTTATGATTGATTGATAGTAATATTTTGTTTAAATCATCTTAAGATGAACGTCATTAATTAAAACATTTTATGATTTATTTATAATATAGTATCCTATATTTGAGTTTAAAAGAAACTGAGTTTGATAAAAATCGAGTAAAGAATTTTTAATATTTTACTTAGGGAAGGTTCTTAATAAATACGATTAATATTTTTGTATTATTGTTAATGTGTGACTTTTTTTGAATTTTTGCAGCATCTTAACCCCTTACCAGCACATTACCTTTTAAATTTAGAATTTCAACAAAATAAAAATAAAGGTAGGCAGTCTGATCAGGCCTAGAGGAGTATGCAGGTAAAATTTTGTGAAGATAGCACTTAACGTTTAATTCTGTGCTCAAATGAATAGAGCTTCAAAAAGGGTGCTGAAACAAGCATTGCTGGGAAGCGTGTAAAAGAGTAAGAGATTTTGCTTACGGTTAAAAAACACTAGATTATGAATACCGTAGCAGATTTAGCATTACCCAGGGTGTGCCACAGGGAGGCCTGCTACTATACATCCCCCTAAAAAAACTCTTGGTTATATGATGATTACATGCATATGAATGGAAAAAAAGTAACTTGGGTATATGATATTTACATTTCATATTTACACTTTTGTCTATTTTTTTCATGGTGGTACTTTTCGAAGAAAGTGATACCACCTTTAAAAAAGCACAACCCAATATTGCATGTTTTGCCCATGTACCGGGATCCGTATCAGATTCACTATCAGAAAGCTATTCGTATAGCGCTTTCAGTGATTCCGAAATGGTCAGTCATCTCCAATCCATTTAGAAAATATTCTACAACTCGAAACTGTCAAACGTAGCGCTACCAAAACTTCTTTGAACGAAAGGGAAAGAGGAAAAACCAAACAGCTAACTGATAAAATTACCCTTGACCTTCAGAAAATCATTCCAATAATTTCTTAGTTAATAAATAAACCTCCCCTCCAACAACAAAAAAAGAGAGAGAGAGAGTGAAAAATGAAAGAAAAACAGGAAATGAAACACAGATGGGGACCCATCTTTCTATTGTCAATGAACTAACTGGACAGTTGCAGAGAAACAGATACAGTTGTTGGTCTGGTCCTAGTCTCTCACTGAGCCCATTCTGGGCACACCTGATGTTCGCCATTCAATTTTAGGAAAGATTTCAAGGTAAAAATTTAAAACTATTAGAGAATAAAGAGATTAGCATGCAGCCAAGAAAATAACATAGAAATTTGTTTTCAAACAGTTCCTTTTATATCCTAACAAAATCTGGCGGATTTCTTTGAAAAATGATGGTCTTTAAAAACTAAACATGGCTAAAATATATGGACTGGTTTATGTTGCACTGCTATCTAGTATAAATAAAGAAGGTTCAGAGTAATCTATAAATCCGTTTTTATTCAATTTTCCTGTATGTACAGAAGGAAATTTTTAGGTGTGCTCAGACCGTGCACATCGTGCCACAAAGGGTTAAGAATTAAATTATTGTTTGAAAAATTTAAATTCTATGAATTTCTTGAAAATAAATTCTATGATTTTCTTGAATGTTTATCTTGAAAACATTAAAGAAATAAGTGAAATTAGTACAGATGAATAATATGAAATTATGTTAAAATTTACCTGTGCACATTTATTTCTGTTCATCTAATATTGACTTGTGCATATTTATTAGTATTAATCTAAAATGTTGTGTGTATTATTTTTTGAGAGCAATTGTCTTTGATTTATTTCAAGGAATGTATCAAATAAAACATGTCCAGTATGCAGAGAAACTCTTGAAAATACTGATGATTCTTGGGTCATACCTGAAATACCTGAATCATCAGAAGTTGCTGAAGAACTTCAAAAGGCTATGACAGCTCTAACAACAAGTACAGACAAGGAATGGAAGATCTAATTCATATAATTAATCATGAAAGATATTTTTTTAAGCTCGAGTCTTTGAATTTACCTTTTGTCAGTATATAGTGTTTTATATTTTGTGTATATCCATTTCTATATGAAAGGAATTTCATTCAATACCTCTGTCAGAAATACTTCATATGATGAGAATCATAGCATTTTTCATGCCCATACAAAGTATTTTTCAAAGATTCCTTTTTGTGCAACATTGAACTAAAAAAATAATGAAATATTTAGGTAAGGAACAAAATTATTATTTTTTTAAAGAATTGAATGTTTAAGAGAAATTTAATTCTGCATATGTTATTTGACCTTGTTAAATTATTAACATCTGAAATTTAAGCAACATATTTAACGAAATATGAGCTTAAAATCTTTTAATTGGTGCTTAACCCTCTGACTGCTCAATTTGTAGATCTAAATAGCTTCCAAAATTGCGTAATTTTTTTTTTTTGGCATATTTCAGATCTATATATATAGAAGAATTGAATAATGCACTTTTTCTTTCTAGAAAATATTTTTTATATAGATTTTTATCATGAGAAACTAAGTTGCCAGAAAAACCAATTTCAGATGTTATCACAAAAAATTCTTTTTTTAAATAAATTTCAGTCGAATTTACAGTTAATTTCTGTTTATTGCATAATATAAAAAATTAAAATGTATAAAATTCAAGAAAATATAAAGCGCTGAGGGAAAAATACCTTAAAAAACAGTTTAGTATGATAAGAGTTCAAACTTCACAGTCTTTGCACCAGATTCAATAAATCTAATTAAATCTAATTATTAAACTAATCAATAATTTAATTAAATAATGAAGATAATCGCTGAATGTTTTCTAGCAGCCATTTCTGTAAGAAAAAACGGCAAAAAGTTAAGTTTAAGTGCTAATACCACGTGCCTTCAAATGCCGCAATTTAGTGGACAACTACCGATATCTGTTGTCCAAAACGTAAACTAAACACCTAATACTGTATATAATTAATTTATTTCAATGGTTAAACGGGGAAAAAACGGGATGCGTTCCTCAATAAAGGAAGAAAAACATATGCCCGTGGAAATCGCGGGATGAGCAAATTTTGCTACATTTGAGTTGCCCGTGGAAATCGCGGGATGATCAGCCAGAGGGTTAACATACATAATATTGCATATAACATTTTCACGTGCAGGTTACTTATCTACCACAAGACAAAAAATAATTTTAAAAAGAAAAGCATAAACTTTAGTTAATTAATCTATATTTTTAACTTTTAGTTAGCTATTTTTTTTTTTTTTTTTTATTTTTTATTATTGATGAAATTTAATGTTCTTGAAATGTTTAATTTGTAAACATAGAAAATATTGCTTTCCTGAGGCAAAATTTTATTTTAAATTTGTAAATCACATACTTAGAAACGATCCTTTTACTTAGACTTGATTGGGTTTTTTTTGGGGGGGAAAAGCTTTCTTTTTATAAAACTATGTAAGAGATTTTTTAAAAATTTTGTTTTATGTTAACTATGTTAATTTTATTATAAAGCAACAAATAACTTCTTTTCCCCAATCATTTAATATATAAGAATTTTTTTATTTTTTATTTATTTGTAAATATATTCCATTAGTAATAAGGTTTTTATTTGTTCTTTTGCATAGAATTAAATGTTCGGGTTTCTGCCTAAACATTCATTAAACATTGCTCAGTTTCAATTTTACTGCAGTTCCATGTCTACATGTTTGCACTTACATACATCAGTAAATTAGTGAATGATGCTATTTCCTTCTGCTCTTTTTTTTTTTTTTTTTTTTTTTTTTTTTATTAAATGCATTTTGTTTGTATATATGTGTGTAGAAATTGACTGAGGAACAAATGTTGATCTTTACACATGTTAATGCAACCACCTTAGTAAAAGTCATCAAAATCTCAGAATGCTCCAATCTCTGATAACTATGCACATAACAATTTTTCAGTTTTAAGAAGCAGCTTTACTATTTTCTTGTTATTCCTTTCGATGTGTTCCAGATTCAAAAGCTATTTATAACCCCTCCTTTTCTGTCTATAAACACAATTTTCAACTGTGTACCTGTGGATTTTGCATGCCATGGAAGAAATTCCAGTAATATGTTTAAAATGAACAATTGCTTTGAATAAATAAGCATTCTCACAAAATTTTGCCCTAAACAAAAGAAGCAAATTCCCTTTGTAAGTTAAGTTTATTGAGTGATTGTTTAGGATAAATAACTGACTGAAACACTATATATATATATATATATATATATATATATATATATAATTTTTTCTTTAATAATTCATGGTTTTAATTGAATTTCAGTTCCTTAGAGATGGTATATAAAAGTTTTCTAATCATAAATATTATTTATATATATATATATAATAAGTAGTTTCTTGCAATTATAAATCATCCATCTTTTTTTTCAGTAAAAAATTCCCAAGCTGTGCCAAGGTGTTGTGCTAATGCATAAATATATAAATGTGAATATAATGATAATTATTCTTTTCTTTAGAACAGTATATTGATCATTGTTATTTGTTGGCAATCCAAAGATCTATTAGCAAGTGCTTAACTTAAATATAAACTTGCATATAGAAATTTATCAGATGTAAAATTTAAGAGAAATTTTTTGAATGTGCGAATTTTTTTTATGTTATTTGCGAACAAATATTTATCCTTTTATAAAATCAGTAAATTAGTGAGTGATAAAATTTTAAATTAACCCTCCGAGCATTACGGGTTTAGCCCTGAAATTTCAATGTTTCTCAAAACAACATGAATAAGTGGTATTTTCTTGATTTTAATTAAAAAATGACTCTCTCATTTTGTACCTTGATTCCTTTTCTTCCAATATGCATCCAAATCGAAATCAGATACATTAAAAACTAGCAGAAATTTTCATGTATAATGAATATATAAGGTAGCCTTCTATGTGGAATTTTCTGGCCGTAACACTGAGAGGGTTAATAAATAATGTATAATATTTTAAAAATATATATTTAAATCTATTTCACACATTTTCTGATATAAAATTTTGACCAATGCTAATGCAAATTAGCCAAGGAAGACCAATCCTATTACCAGTTAGCTAAGCAGTTTACATACTGATTTTTACTTCTATGTTACTGCTAAATGCTTTTTAAAACATATTCTAGTTTCCTGGTGATAAATAAGATAATAAAATATAAATTGTTTCTTATCTAGGTTGTGTGAAAAATTCTGTGCTGAATTCCTGAATACAAATTTAATGTAAAAAAATACTTTCATCTTAAAATACAAGATTATTATTTTTTAGGAAGTGAGAAAGAAAATATCATTAATCTTTTATATTCATAGCATATTTGAAATGTTCCAAATGCTTTTAGATTAAATTATGCTAGATTATTTATAATTCTGTAGGATGCAAGAGCCAATTTTGTTTACAAGTGATGTCTTAGTAAAAGTTTCAGTAAGGGAAATTAGCTTGTATTCATGTTACACATTGAGAAAACTTTACAAAACCTCACAATGAACCTGTTCAGTCATCAAGTCAAAGTGCCAGTGTCCAGTGATTTTTTTTCACTGAACTACAGGCAGGTTTTAAAATTTTTTAAATATATCAGAAACAGATGTACGTTTGATTGATAAATAACAGGCATTTGATTATGGGAAAGTATATGAATTCTGTCTTGTCTGAGATGAGGTACTTTATATGAAGCAAGATGGACTGGCCTAATTCAGCAATTGTATCAGGTATTGAAAGACTTTAGATCTGGAAATCGGATGACAGAGAAATATAGTCAAATAATGAATATGAACTGTTTGGAAGTAGATGGACACGTGGATATATGAATCCATCTTATTCAAACCATGTCTTTCATATAGGTTTATGCTATCCAGGTTCAAAAGGAGAAAATCAGTCATTACTTCAATACATCATTTTGATTAACTATGGCATGATTGTGAAAATCCCAAAAGAGATATGGCTATATGATAATGAATGATGCAATCTCATCTAAAGAGAAATTGTTTCATATTTATTTGTAAATATTTGTTACTCAAGGTTATGAAAAAGTTGTGCTGCTAACCTATTCTAATGGGAATCAGATCCCCAGCCAAAGCTATGAGCATAAATTAGGCTTCTAAATATATAGCCCCTGTTGGATTTAACTGATATAAGATGGTTAAAAGATAGACCTAAATCTTGACCTTAAGCACAGTAAAATCCTGCTTAACATGGGGGTTACGTTCCATCAAAGGAGAGCATTATATGAAGAGGTCATCTATCTCATCATGTAAATAATGGAGTAAGAGAAGAACAGGTATAAAATTTAAAAAAAAATTGTTAATGTATTTTGTTCTTTTTAATGTATTTTGTTCTTGTATATTAAATATGTTTTTATAACAACAAAAAATAAAAACTTATTTCTTACAAATATTGAAACATAACAAATGAATATATAGAAATAAATAAATTTTGAAGTAACCATTTATATTTTAGATCATTCAGATTGTTCTGCATTTCCAGTTTTCTGTTTTTTTATCAAGAAGGTATCTAATGTCATTTCCATTTTTCTTTTGCACTTTCTAAGAAGTTGTTGATGACGACATCCATGATACACCATCTTGCTTTGGTGAACTTAAATGGTAGAATGTAAGGCTCTTGTGAGAGAATGCTTATGGGTAAAAGAAGTGAATATCATTGAAATATTATAACATGGGAAGAGCTTAGGCAGCAGGGACTGAAAGAATATTTTCTACTTTTGGAACTGTGCCACAACAAATTAAGAAATCATTCGGGTTAAAAAGGCAGCAAACCTTTTTTATTTATTTAAAACACTGAATGTTGATATGAAAAACCATTTTGAAAAAGTTATGTAAATATCAGATACAAGTGTCATTCCCATGGTTATATTTACTCTAATTGTCTATTTGTATTTATATAAAAGATATATTTTTAGTGTATTTACTAGTATATACATATGTTATATAGCTAAATGATTAAAGCTACAGTACAGTTACTAATGCCAAAAAACTGCCAAGATATTTTTATGCTACTAATTAATGAACTATATAAAGTTGATATTATCTGTAATTAATTTTTAATTTACATGTACAAATGTGCATTATCCTTCTTGATATCATCTACTTAATGGCTTAACTTACTTAACTACTTAGTGGCATCTACTTAGTGTACAATAAGTTAACATGAGAAAAAAAAAAAAAAAATCTTTTTTTTTTTTTTTTTTTTTTTTTTGACTACATATGAAAGATGTCTTCATCTTCGACTTTCTTAGGAAAACTGGCTCATTTTCGTTTCGCAATGACATTACCATTCACTAACATTTTTATTTGGTATACTTGTATTTGCTTGGAATATGACTTTAGTTCAAAGAGTCATGACTGCATGCACTATTCTTCTTCCCCTCTTTAGAAAAATGCTACTACTGTTCATGAACATCAGTACACCTGTTGCTACTATTCAGTAAACAACCTATGCTACAACTCAAGAGGTTTCCCCCCCCCATAAATATTTTGTTAATTCATTAACAATGAGTTTTAAGAAAGCTGATGAGAAGAGTCAAACAAT